GGTTAGGGTTAGGTTTTAGGGTTAGGGGCTAGGTTTAGGGCTCGAGCTAGGGCTAGGGTTAGGTTTTAGGGCTAGGGTTAGGGTTAGGGCTAGGGCTAGGGCTAGGGCTAGGTTAGGGTTAGGGTTAGGGTTAAGATTAGGGTTAGGACTAGGGTTAGGGTTAGAGCTAGTGTTGTGGTTAGGGTTAGGGTTGTGTCTAGCGTTGGTTTTTGGTTTTGTGTGAAGTTTTAGGCTAAGGTGGATGCTTAGGTTTTGGTCTTTTTCTTAAGGTTTGGATTAAAGTAGTATAAAGGTATAGAATTCTAGTTAGAGTTAGGATTCTAACTTGAGAGAGGGGGGGGGGGGGTAATTCCCCAGTGGGGTAATTGACAGGGGGGGGTAATTGCTCCGGGGGGGTAAATACGGGGGGGGGGAAAGGTCCGGGGGGGGGGGGGGGGGGGAATTTCCAGAGGGGTAATGTCCTGTAGCCAGTATATATATATATATATATATATATATATATATATATATATATATATATATATATATATATATATATATATATATATATATATATATATATCTTGTGATTTGTTTTATTCATCATAGACATAAACCTAATATGTATTTCTCAATAACTGTATTATGTATCACTCTATATAAATGTATAAGTATTCAAAAATTAATTGGTAGTATATAATATTTATACCTAAATTATATATATATATATATATATATATATATATATATATATATATATATATATATATATATATATATATATATATATATATATATATAGTTTAAATATATTTACATATTTATGAACAATAATTTAATTTGTACGATATAAGTAAGGCTTTGGTCCTCTAGTAACTAGGTCTACACTGAAGGCTGAGACTTGAAAAAGAACAAAGGTCGCAATTCATTTCTATTCAGCAACATTGAGTTTATCATTACCAACCATGTGGTTAAATGGTTTGTAGCACAGTGTCTATGTATCTATAACACACTGTCTATGTAACCATATCACATTGTCTATGTACATCTCACACATTGAATGTCTATGTAGCTCATTAATGACTCGAACACTTTATCATCATCAAAGATCATCCTATTTTGAATAACTTTTGCATACATCACTTCCACTTTGCTGTTGTTTTAATAATTTATGCACAATTACTAATGAATCCGCAGGTCAGTTTTTAGACAAATTCATGTATTCCTTGCTTGAGCAAATCGTTGGTGCCAGGAATTGTCGTCTGCATGTAGAATGCCAACAGCTCCCCAATGGACGCGAAGAACGCCTCCATATCCAGGGTAAACCTGGCGTCCTGCTCGAGTACTTTGTACTCCCGGACGGTTCCATCTGAAGACAGGTATGCCAGGATCTTGAGATTACTTTGTCTGGAATTCCTTACTAAGTATGCCCCTGGCGTCAACGTGCATTCAAGCTGATGAAGGCATTTTTCCCGATCAGGGATTGGGTCCTGTATGAAGCAAAGTGATTCTAGAATTTCGGGCCGCGGTGGTGGGAATTCGTAGGGGACGTAGAGTTCTCCTTCCTGGTTTCCATGACAACCAGAGCTGGTGACGTCAATGTAGTCAGGTGGGCAGCGGGGGAGGATGCGAGGGGCGGGTAAGGGCGGGGCGGTTTCTGATGGTGCCGGGTCGGTGGTTGTGTTCGATGGTACCGAGTCTGTGGAGATAGTCATGGGAATCGGGGGTTGGGGTGGGGGGCAAGGGGCTACCAGGGGGCGCCGTGGGACTCTCTGGTGGTGCTGTGGGGCGCCTCGCAGGCAAAACCGGTGCTGGAGAAGCGGACGGTGAGGTGGCACTGAGGTCGATAGATGGTGAGGTGGCGCTGAGGTCAATTTTCTTTGGCGATGTGGGCGAAGACATAGTCGGGCTTTTTCGGGGTCAATGACGTCATCAATGAAGAATTTAAAGAGATCGCCAACGCCTTCACGGAAGTGCCCAGCTGTTTCGTTTTTTTGTAAAAGCGAATTCGCACTTTTGGAGGAGGTCTCGTTTTGCGTTTCCGGTTTGCTGGAACTTTCGTCATGTAATCGCGTCGGAAGCTGAGTGTACGAGTTTTTCCGAGATTTAGCCCGTGACGGGTCCTCGCTAGACTGTTGTGTTTGGATGTTTTCATCAATCAGCTCATCAACTTCATCGTATACGTTATCTCCCGCGTCATCCTCCTCGTCTAAGTTCTTCTTCCCCTTGCTTAGACTCTGGAGTGACTCCATCTGGAGTCGAATGACTCTCATCCACTCATTTCTTTCCTTCTCGTTTATACACGCGAATGTTTTAGTAAGCAGAACGTCCGTGTTGCCCAACGGTGGGCCTTTCAAAACAAAACACCATTCGTTATTTTTAGACTCCGCTGTCTTGACCTCATTGAACCTGGCCAAGCTTGTCGTTGACTTCGGGCTAGGAGAGGTCTCCTCTGTATACACAATTAAAGAATCAGACGTAACCACGATGAACCTGAACGGCCCATTTTCCAATATTTAATTTGCCTTGTTTTTTACGGAGAAGGCCGAACTTGAGAGCGATGTTAGGATTCTTGATGATTTCTTGCGCAGGTATTTGCGCATGCGCTGTTTTAGAGCTCCGGGTCAACGTTGACATGGTTTGTTGTTTTGAGCTGTGTTCCGGATTTAAAAGGGTTGTTTTTGCAAGTCAGTCATCTAGCTATGCAGCGTGTTTACATTGTTGTTGTCACCTAAAAGTGGAATTGGGAAATTTTTAACCATGTGTGGATAAAAATAGCCCTAGCACTACGACTATTAGTAGACACTGAAGCTTTATTTAAAAGTAAGCACACACTTTATATATATATATATATATATATATATATATATATATATATATATATATATATATATATATATATATATATATATATAAGCGCCCCTGACACAAAAAACGAGCCTTTTCCACCCCCCCCCCTCCAAAAAAAAAGCACACACTATTAAAATAGGTATCTGTAACGCTATGGGCACTTAACCAAGGCTCTGAACTGTTCGTCTCAGGGCAAAAGAAAACAGGTAAGTCACAGCACAGAATCAACTAACAAGAGCCAGACTATCTTGAGGAAGTACCAAGAATGTTGCCAGAGGTATATTGTGGAAAGAGATTTCTGATGTCACCTCCCCCCCCCCCTCCCCATGTATCCTGGGCACAGAAGAGAAAAAGAAGATGATGAATTTGTATTACATTTTACGATACATTATTCTGTTCTTAATATCATATAATCTATTTTTGTATAGCTTTAGGCAGAATGGGGTAAATACACCGCTGTTAATTCCCCCCCCCCCCCCGCCATTGGTCATTTACAGTTAAGGCTATTGTTAGGGTTAGAGAGAGGGGTAGAGCTAGGGCTAGGGTTATCTGGTTATTCTTATCACTATTCGAAGATATTCTTTGCATACTATCGATATAGCATTAAAAAGCTCCTTTAGAGTGGATTGTCCACCCCCTACACACCCCAGAGGCGCAGGGAATCTTTATGGCGCCATATGAAGTCACTATCGGTCAAGTGGGGTTTAGTATGATGAAACTGCATGTTATAATGTTGGAAAAATGAGGTTGTCAAAATAAAATGTTTCCAAATATGGACCTAGTTTTTTATACAAGTAAAAATATGTTTTTATTTGTGATCGGCTTGATTATATTTTCTGTCGCGCATTACAAGACCATAGGCTATTTTTTTTAATAAAAAGGATATTTGTTTTATCACTCCTAACACTACGAAAAAAGAAGACTTTCAGACAAAACTGAATGTCTGCTGCAAACGATCGTGTCTTCTTTCGTGGATGTAGCTGTCCCTTAACTAGAAATATACCTCATTATTCAAAAAAATTAAACAAATATAAAAACCTGTTTGATAGCACGCATGTAAATGCACTGTAAATAAGAAAATAAAACAAACGTTCTTTAATAAAGCATTAAATAGAAGCATGCGCTATTTTAACCACCAAATCTTTTATTAAAGAAAGCAAGTTCGTTTTATTTTCCCAGTTTAAAAGCTTTTTTATTTACAAAGGGTTTAATATTTGTTTTATTTTTCGCTCTCTATTCATTCGTTCGAAATGAAGTTGACTCAACATAGGCTAGGACTACAAATATTTGCGCTGAAATCTATCCAGTAGCTTGTCTCTAAAACACAGTTATCTGCCCCTGTATAGTTCATGGTCGAGGCTAAGGCAAGAAATAAACCAGCCGTGAAAGACAGTTCAGCGTTGCTAACAACTGATCAAGAAATTGCTCCCGGTCAAAAACCCCAGACTTAAACCCCCTGGACATAAACCCCCTGCGACATATACCCCCCTGGACAAAAACCCCCGTGACATAAACCCCCTGGATAATAACCCCCCGACTGAGGTTTATATAAGGAAATAATAACGATGATGAGAACAAAAAAAAATTAAATTAAATTGATGTAATTTTTAACGACTAACGATTCTGGTCAACGGACGGACTGTTCCATGTGTTTATCATCATCATCATCATCACTCCTTTGTGGCCCCTGGGGAGCAAAGGGCTGCAACCACACATCTCCAGCGGACTCGGTTTTGGGCTGCTCCTCTAATCTGTGACCATGAGAGCCCAGCTGTTTTTGCCTCTTCCTCAACCGTTCTCTTCCATGTTTTCCTTGGCCGGCCCACCCTCCTTTTCCCCTGGGGATTCCAGTCCAATGCATGTTTTGCGATGTTTTCTTTTTCTTTTCTTAACGTGTGTCCGATTCATCCCCATTTACGGGCCTTAATATCTTTCTCTATTGGCTGTTGCTTTAAAATTTGCCACAGGTCTTTGTTTGATAATTTGTCTGGCCATCTTAGTTTGAATATATGTCGTAGGCATTTGTTTACGAACGCCTGTAGCCTATCAGTATTTGTCTTCGTAACCCTCCAGGTCTCCGAGCCATAGAGTAGCACTGCCTTAACATTCGTGTTGAAAATCCCAATTTTGCTCCGGAGTGACAGGGCCGTGGACCTCCACATCGGGCGCAGCGAGTTGAAGGCACATCTAGCCTTGTTGATACGACATTTTATGTCCTCGTCTGCTCCCCCGTCCTTATTGATCACGCTTCCCAGATATGTGAATGTGTTTGTTTCTCGTAAATCTTCTCCATTTAGCTGTATCGGGAGGTCCTGGCTGTTATTGATTCTGATGACCTCTGTTTTGTTTTTGTTGATTTTTTCCATGTGTTTATGCCATGTGTTTATGCTTTACTTCAAAACAAAACACAGGAAACATACACAGCACTCTTACAGCAGCTAACGGTCTTAAACACAAACCTGCAACCAATTTCTATTATGATTGTCCCTGAAATGGCTGTGATAAAAAGTGTTGAAAGGGTATTTCCAGAGTGTGAGGTAAAAGGATGCTTCTTCCATCTTAGCCAAAACATATACAGAAAAATACAGGACTCAGGTCTCCAACAACTTTACCAACTTGATAGCAAATGTGCTCTCAAGCTCAGAATGCTACCTGTGTTGGCTTTTGTGGCACTGAACACATTAGTTATGCCTTTAATAAATTATCGGAAATGTTCCCCCAAGAAGCAATGCTGATTGCAGACTATTTCGAGAATACTATATTGGCAGACGACAACGTCGAGGTCAGAGACAACCTATTTCCACTTAATATGTGGAACATGCACACACGTGCAGAAGACCATATGCCAAAGTCAAACAATTCATTTGAAGGCTGGCCATTATAGAGTATTTGCGAGGCATCTCTCAAAATCGCTCTTTTGAAAGTTATAATAAAACACTTTTTAAATGTGTGTTTTGTTTCTAATTATTAATTTTGGTTCCCATCATCTTTGGTTTTTCGTTATATAAACCTCAATGGGGGGGGGGGGGGGGGGGGGCTTTGTCCAGGGGGTTTATATCGCGGGGTTTTTTTGTCCAGGGGGTTCATGTCGCGGGGAGTTTATGTCCAGGGGGTTTATGTCGGGGGGTTTTTGTCCAGGGGTTTTATGACCGGACACCTTTATTACTATATTAAGAACTATTTAAAATTAAATTTTAATGACTAATTGTCTATCTAATGATATTGAAATTAGATATTCTTGTATTGTCGTCGAAGATGGAAGTGTCTGGAAAATTTCAATGAAATTACTGCTTTAGAATTGGGTAAAAAAATTAAGGTACAAGATTCGCCACATCCCACACACAGACGTTGCGAGCTAAAGCATGTACAACACAAGACAAAACCTACCTTTACGTTATGTCTTTGAGTTTTACTTATCCACTCTACTAGCGTATACTTGACAATGCTACACACTAAACAACAATAGCCTAACAGGCTTACTAACCATGACACACCCAATAGGCGAGAAGACAGCGGTGTCGCTAGTTTAGATGACACTGTGTATAGGCTAGCTGTAAATTATGTGGCAACACCTAGAGGTTTAGACAGACGGTGATAAAGGGTATATATGTGCACACTTCCTACTAAAAGACAAACACTGTGTTAAGATACAGATCTAGGGCATAGGCTACACATACACACGCTGATTATAGACGGTGTGTGATGTGTGGAGTTGGGTAGGGGTGGGGTCTACACGGTTGTAAAAGATAAACTAACGGTCACGGAGAGGAGCTTTGTATCACTAGGTGGGGGGGTGGGGTCTACACGGTTGTGAAAGATAAACTAACGGTCACGGAAAGGTAATGCTTTGTATTACTTCCTGGTTACCTGTGTAAAATGGTGTTGGTGTAGGGTGACAGGAATGGTGTTGGTTGGGATTTGGGTGGGATTGTGGTGTGTGGGGGGGGGGGGGGGGGGCCGCAAGCGGGTAGTGGCTGGTTTTCAACCCTCACACCAATACGCTTCAGTGTTTGGCCACACACACCATAAACACACACCATAATTCCACCACCTTGGCCATCTCACCCTACACACACACCACCAACTTGGCCATCTCACACCACCACCTTGGCAATCTCAGCCTACACACGCAATCTTGGCCATCTCACCCTACACACGCAATCTTGGCCATCTCACCCTACACACGCAATCTTGGCCATCTCACCCTACACACGCAATCTTGGCCATCTCACCCTACACACGCAATCTTGGCCATCTCACACTACACACGCAATCTTGGCCATCTCACCCTACACACGCAATCTTGGCCATCTCACCCTACACACGCAATCTTGGCCATCTCACACTACACACGCAATCTTGGCCATCTCACCCTACACACGCAATCTTGGCCATCTCACACTACACACGCAATCTTGGCCATTTCACCCTACACACGCAATCTTGGCCATCTCACCCTACACACGCAATCTTGGCCATCTCACCCTACACACGCAATCTTGGCCATCTCACCCTACACACGCAATCTTGGCCATCTCACACTACACACACCACCACCTTGGCCATCTCACCCTACACACGCAATCTTGGCCATCTCAAACTACATACACCACCTTGGCCATCTCACACTACACACGCAATCTTGGCCATCTCACTCTACACACTCTACCACCTTGGCCATCTCACCCTACACACGCAATCTTGGCCATCTCACACTACACACACCACCACCTTGGCCATGTCACTCTACACACTCTACCACCTTGGCCATCTCACCCTACACACGCAATCTTGGCCATCTCATTCTATACACCACCAGCTTGGCCATCTGACCCTACACGCACCACCAACTTGGCCAACACACCCTACACACACCACCAGCTTGGTCATCTCATACTACACACCTTGGCCATCTCAACTCAGTGTGGAAGAATTATCCCCAGGTTTGTAGGCTACACAAATAGCCCAATATATAAATAGTTTTTATTCGCTCACTTCTTCTTCGTTCTTAATTGAATTGATGTCGGCGGATTTAAAATGGACTGCGGTCTCCAGATCTGCGGCTTCCAATACTGTTTGTTTCTTTCACTGAAAGCGTAACCTCGCAATAAGATAATTGGGTTCTCTCCCCTTTTTCACAAACACACACACACACACACACACATATATATATATATATATATATATATATATATATATATATATATATATATATATATATATATATATACACTCGCACACATACATTCCCACACACACTCTCGCACACACACACGAACGCACACACACACGAACGCACCCGCACAGCCCAGTGTTGTCGGTCTGTCTCAACATTATTCTCTCTAATCGACCCGTTCACCCGTTATCAGAGCATTAAAACCCGAGCCGATTATGTCTAAATAAAAGAGGGGGTGAAACATAGGGGCAGGGAGGAAGTAGGGAGATATACTAATAAAAAGAAAGAAAGAGAGACTAACGAGAGGGAGATTATAGAGAGTTAGAGAGATAGAGAGATAGAGAAAGGGAGAAAAATGGCTTTAGTTAAAATCAACTAAAACGACTAAAATTTTGTAATAAATATAACATTTTTTTCTGTCTTGTGGCGACTATGAACTATTTCATCTATATTAATGTACGATATAATTTAATTTCTTTACTTAGGGGCCTATATGTATATATATATATATATATATATATATATATATATATATATATATATATATATATATATATATATATAGCTTAACCTTTATACATTTGCCATTATGGAATGGAGCGTCTTCCTTCTTAATGTGGTTGGGTGATATTTAGTCTGTCGATAATTTAAGCTAAATAGATGTAAATTGTTTGTTGCTGATTAAAATATTTGCCCTCATGTTGTGTAAGAAAACGTGCATGGCACCAAAAGTTATAATGTTTATTTTAGTCACCTGCGTTGTATAATATTGTCGAGTTTTTAGTTGTATGATATTGTCGAGCTTTTGGCGATAAAACTAAGGTAAGCGAGGTTTATGAAATGATTAACTTTTTTTTACATCTTGAACTGAACTTAGGAGTCTTCCATTACTGACTTTACCCCACTGTGTCGATGGAGATACATATATATATTAAAACTATATATATATATATATATATATATATATATATATATATATATATATATATATATATATATATATATATATATATATATATATATTGAGGCGTAGCGAGGGGGGACGCCAAAATGGGTTGGAATAACAAATCCAAAGTTTGAGGGGGGGGGGGTGCAAATCGAAAGTTTGTCCTCAGGCGCCGGGAAGGGTCGCTACGCCTCTGTATATTTATATATATATATATATATATATATATATATATATATATATATGTATATATATATATATATATATATATATATATATATATATATATATATATATATATATATATATATATATATGTGTGTATGAGTGTGTATGTATGTATGTGTGTATCTGTGTGTAAGTGTGTGTATGTATGTGTGTATGTGTGTGTGTTTGTGTGTGTATGTGTGTGTTAGTATGTGTATATGTGTGTTTGTATGTATGTGTGTGTGTTAGTATGTGTATTTGTGTGTTTATTTGTATGTGTCTGTCGGCCTATGTACGAATGTAATAAATACGTGCCCACGCCACTACGATGCATTGCTTTTGTTCATAATTTCAAACTTTAGTTTTATGCACGTGCCCTTGTTATCTCTGCGTGCCTGGAATTTTAGCCCAGAATTAGCGCTGGAAATAAAGTACAGTTTCTGATAATAGCTTCATGCACTTTAATTACGTTGGTTAATCATCATCCATCTCAAGTATATAAATATAGTAGAAACGAGACTAAACATAATACTTGTTTCTGTGGTAAACTGTTAAAACAACAAACAGTTTAACACGAGATTAACGGTACCCTTGGAACCACCAACTCAAAGAGCGGCTTAAAATGGATCAAGTAACGGCAGTCGATGATTTGATCTTCAAGGCAGGTCTACCAAAGGAGGAGATAACACGTCGCTACACGGAATGGGCGAAAGATTCACATTACGAGCAGGTAATGGATACTACTATAGTAGCAATCTGCAGATTTTGTTTACTGAACTGACTCATGGTGGATTTGACCTTTACCCTGTACACACTTTTACTATAGAAGGTCATATCATTAAGTGTTATGATATAACCAAGCTAGAGGTTATAGGCAAGGCTTTGCTCTAGCCATTTATAGCCATGTCTAAATTTAACTGAAACATGTATGTGTTTAATTGAAAAAAATAAACATCAATGCATAAAGTAGCGACACGTACACTCTTACTGGATTCTAAAATTTACCTTTACTGTTACTGAATACCGTTATATTACAACAACTACTACCACTTCATTATCATTAATTTACCGTACCCTAAACGATGGTTAATTTTTAAGTGGTAATGTCCTACTGCAGTTTTTGGGTTGGGGTGAGGTCCTGTGCGGTCCTGTGATCTATAGCGCCTGCGCTCTTGCCTGTACTCGGAACCCCTGCCCAGAGGCGTAGCGACCCTTCCCGGCGCCCGGGGACATACTTTCAATTTGGCGCCCCCCTCGGGAGCAAATTTTCGATTTGCACCCCCCCCTCGAACTTTTCATTTGCACCCCCCCCCTCAAACTTTCGATTTGCACCCCCCCCCTCGAACTTTTCATTTGCACCCCCCCCCCTCAAACTTTCAATTTGGCGCCCCCCCTAAGGTCGGCGCCCGGGGACATATGTCCCCCCCCCGCCCCCCCCCTCGCTACGCCTCTGCCCCTGCCGTAGTGTAACAAGTGGCTCCCAAGAACTGCCCCTGGAGCGTCTGGGCGGTAGCTTTGACAAACTCGCACCCAATAAACTATGATCCAAAAATATACTGCCTGCTTTGTTTATATTAAAATAACTCAGGTTTAGACGCATTGGTGTAATCCTCTTAAAATATTGCGTCAGCCTTTCTCCTGAAACAGCAGCAACGCGCGCGACTGGTCGCTAATATATATATATATGTATATATATATATATATATATATATATATATATATATATATATATATATATATATATATATATATATATATATATATATATAAATCTATTTAAATCTATTATTACTAATGCAATAGATTAATAGCTAATCATAAAAAATAGGACTGGTAATACAACAAATATTCGCCAGTTGCCCACAGTGTTATGTCCCACTCACAGCACAGTAGACAGAGTAAAAGAGAACAATTGAAAAAAGTAAAAACTACGAATCTACTTTTGTTTCGTTTCGCAGCACATGAATGAAGAAAACTACCACGGCCCCCTGTACGTAGCGGAAGCGATGGTGAAACTGTATCCTGAAGAGGCTGCGAGAAAGAATGTCAGCATTCTTGATGTAGCTGCTGGCACCGGATTGGTGGGTATGCAGGTCAGTCTTGTTTATTTAGAGACTAGAGATAAAAATAATTATCATTAAATTTTTTTTTTAAAAACCACGTTTTCTGATTGAACTAAAAAGTAGAAAGCCAGAAGAGGGAAAGTACCGAACCTTGTTTTATCAAATTACTATTTCTAGATTATTTCCCTTTTTTGTACAAATCAATAGGAGTCTAAAATGATCAATAAAAATTTTCCATGGATCAATTTAGTAATAATAATAATTTAATATTGTATTGTCATTGGAAACAAAGCTTCCCTGAAAATTTCAGCGCGCTAGCTAACTGGGAAGTGCCCGCAATTTCGATCGCAAGATTTGATGGAAAGACAAACAAACAAACAAACATACGCAAAAGCAAGTTAAAGAAAACGTGGGAATATAACATTGAAGGGCTTTTTAATTTAATAAAGCAAATACATAAAAAACGCTATAATATTAAGACAACTAAAACTAAAAAATAACACTTGCTTTCTATAATAAAAGCAATATTCGCTAAACGTTAAAGATATTTCAACAATGTTTTCTTTGATGTCCCATGTTAGCTACTGCTTTAAGGTTTCAGTAAAATTGTTTGTATTTGATACTATCCCAGCTACTATGTAAAGGTTTCAGTAAAATTATTTGTATTTGATACTATACTAGCTACTGCGTAAAGGTTTCGGTAAAATTGTTTGTATTTGATTCTATCCCAGCTACAACGTAATGGTTTCAGTAAAATTGTTTGTATTTGATACTATCCCAGCTAAAACGTAAAGGTTTCAGTCAAATTGTTTGTATTTGATACTATCCCAGCTACTACGTAAAGGTTTCAGTAAAATCGATGCTCTAGAACCTACGGAGGGGATGTTGAGCCTGGCCAAGTCCAAGAACATTTACACTCGCACATTCCAGAACTTTCTTGGAGAAGATTCACATTGTATTGAAGCTGGTATGTCTAATTAAATAATGATCAATTGGGGGGGGGGGGGGGGGGGGGGGGTGAAGGGGGGGAAGGGGGCATTGGGGGTTAGGTCTCATATATTGGGTTAGGGTTTAAAATTTAAAATCATTTATATATATATATATATATATATATATATATATATATATATATATATATATATATATATATATATATATATATATGTATATATATATATGTGTATATATATATATATATATATATATATATATATATATATATATATATATATATATATATATATATATATATTTATATATATATATATATATATATATATATATATATATATATATATATATATATATATATACACCCCCATATATACGTAAATGTACTATATTATATTTGATAAATATTTATTATATAGGCTTATATGTATACAGAAAAAAAATGAACGCCCCCGTATAAAAATCATGCTACACTCCATTGCTAATCACAGCACATTATCACAAAAGATACATTGTAATGTCGCTCAAAACTTCTGCCCGCAAACTATTCAGCCACTCATACATGTCTATATAACAAGTGGTAGAAAATCAGAAACATGTACTAAAAAGTTACTTTTTTAAAACAAGGCTCATAACTTAAGGAACGAAGAGATGGAAAGCGAACTTTCTACTGACACTTTGTTCACAAAATTGTTTTTATGTACTTTCAGATTATTATGATGTTGCTATAATTTGTGGTGGAATGGGGGAAAATCACATCCCATGTTCGGGGATCGATGAACTTTGCAGATTTGTAAAACCAGGTACACGATCTTTTAACGGACAGTCAGTTCTGTTTGGTATCTTGTATTAAAACCATACTACTATCAAATATTTTAAATCTTACAAAGTAAAAGCTATGTATCAGCATTTTAAAAAAGTAATTAATAAATTAGCATGTTTATGAATGTGACTGCACATGTTAAACATGTTAATGTATATTTTTAAATGACCGCATTATTTTAAGTTTAATTAGGGGAAAAATTAATTTGCTCATATGTAAATACATCTATGAAACGAAAATTCCTGATAATTAAAACGTATGTCTACATTCATTTATCACACTTTCGTTTTTACATGACTCTATAATCACCGAAACAAGATAAGGTTTATTTTGAACTCTGAATAGAACTGAGTTTTCGTGTTAATGGGAATAACAATGTTCACGTCTACTATACTGTCGGTGCACCATACATAAACACATGCTAGTTTGTAACATTTATGTAGACACATACACATATATGTATGGTATGCACTTATGCTGTATATAATATACGAGCCGACCCGCTGCGTATCATACGCCGCTATTTAGTTGTTGTTTTTTCTACTTTTCAGTAATTTATAATTTGTGAATTCGACAGTACCAATGCTGCCACTAAAAATATTTGCTTAAAAACACTAAACCCCCCTCCCCCCCCCCCCCCCCCACGTGAAAGCAGCCTCCTCTTAGTTACCTCCTCTAAGTTTAAAATCGTTTCAAACTAAATTATCTGCCCCTAATAGCCGTCACCAAACCCGTCTCTATGATTGTAAAATGTAAACAGCGTGAACCACAGCTCACCAGACCATGTGGGGGTGGGGTGGGGGTGGTAGTGATAGTGATAGAGAGAAAGAGAGGGGACTGCAAGGAGGCGCTTGCAGCTTGTTTTCTAACGGCTCCCAGAAGAGAATTATATATATAGATAACTTAGGAATAATTATTTACCTAGGAAATGACTAGTCATCTTCTTTTTAAAAATATTATAATATTATATTGATTTATGAAAAAAGTTATTGAACTGTAAAAACGTTTTGAGCAGAAACTCAATAAGAATTCTTTAAATACCGTTTAGATAAAACAGAAAATATTCTAACCCGTACGGTTTACCTTCCAGGTGGTCACGTGATCATCGTCATGCGTGAAGAGTTCTTGACGACCGTCGCAGAATACAAAGACAGGCTGGAACCTCACATGAAAAACTTGGAACAGGAAGGCAAGTGGGAGCCAGCGTCAAGGACAGTCGTGCCCAAGTACTATTTCAACTATGATGGCATTGTCTACGTGTTTAAGGTGAAACAGCAGTCATCACGTGATGCTTGATGTCACTGTTTGATCTTTGAGAGTGTTTTATTGTTTACTAGTAGCATGTACCCGGCCGTGCCCGAGATTTGGCTACTGTATAGGCCTACAATCTACATTTAAATGTGTTAATATGTCAGTAAGGTGAAATGAGAAAGCACAGGATAGTTTCATAACACTTGAATGGATTAATGATGGTGTTCTGCATGAATGATTCTTTGAGAATTATATGTGAATTTCTCGTTATGATTTTATGCCAAGATAATAAATGTAATATATATGTGTAATATATATGTAAACGCAAACACACATGTACACACACATGTACACACACACACATACACACACACACACACACACACACATATATATATATATATATATATATATATATATATATATATATATATATATATATATATATATATATATATATATATATATATATATATATATATATATAATATATATATATATATATTACTCACATTCTTTATTAGGCTTATTCAGTAAAAACTGTAAACAGATTGATTGGTTATATATCATGATCTTATGATTAATTGCTAATTGTGATGGATAATTATTATTATTGAAATACCTAATTTTCAACAAAAATAAAAGTTGAAATTAAAGAAAATAGCTTAGTTAAATAAGAAACTCGGTCAACATTTCCATGTGTCAAAATACCTGTCAATCTCTAGGTCAACGTGTCAATAAGTAGTTAAGGTACCCTTTCACACCTGACGGTCAATGGAGCAGGTGAAAAAAAGAGTTCAATTTTTTTTTTCATTGACATTAGCATAAAATTATGTTGGGATAGTGTGGCCAGCACTATGCTTAGCCGCTTTTACTTTACCTAACGTGAGTCAGGTACCTGTCACAGCTGGGTGGACTCAGTGACGTTTCCAGCCATTAACCCGGTTTCGAACTCGAGACTTTCGGGTTAACGGTCGTATGCCCTAACATTCAACCACTTTTTTTATAATTATCATTTCTAATTATTTCTTACATTGCTGACACAACACCCTCATTAGTGTCGCCAGCAAATTCAGCGATGCGTGGGAACAATAGAATAATTTATTGTCTACACTTCAAGCTTTGCATTTAAACAAAAGTTTATTGATTATAATGTGCTGGGTCCCTTCCGTCACAGGTGTGTCTAACACGTCTGGCTTTTGTTTCAGTCTCATTAGATTAGTTTTATTTCTAATTATGTTAATTACTTTGTTCAGGACCAACACAGTAGAGCAGTAAATTAAGAAATGTAGACATTTTAGGACATACAAAAATTGAAGGGGATGAAACAGAGTTTCTCTTATACATTTTTCTCAGAATGGTGAAACCACTCGGAAGGGGGGGGGGGGAGGGTTGCACTAAAAAAATTCCGATTGGTGGACACTACACATTTTCCTGTTCGTGCCCACGACGCATAGGTAGGTGAAGTAGAGTTATGTTTCAGTGATTTCGGCATACAGGGGAATAGTGCAGTCAGCCCTGAGTCCAGCCGCTTTATGCTGGGTGGACTCTGGGACATCCTACAGACCCCAGCACGGATCCCTAACCCGAGACTTCCGGCTAAGCAGTCGTACGATCTACCACCCGACCATGCCAGCTCCGATATTATGTACATAATTTTAATTTTTTTTTCTCTTCGGTAGGGGGAGGGGAACAATGCCTTCCCATGAGAGATGCTTAAAATAGTATATGCTACAAGCCATACAAAATACAACTTGAAGTATGTAGTCTCGCACGTTATCAAAGTGTGTTGTTCGATGTGATATCAGGTAAACTGCGAAATGAAAATGCAGCGTAAGGGTTTTCGCATTTATATTTCAACATCTGGCGTCTACCATGATAATTCTATTTAAAAATATTTCACGGCAACAGGTTTTATGAACCATTTCACCATTGTGGGCCTACACAACAGCACCATCTAGATATGCGGCTATTAATAATCATTATGTAAAGTTACATTTACATTGTATATGTAGAAGATCCATGCGGCAGATCTTTTACGAAAATGATGACCTTTTTTTAAATCCATAAATTATACGTCTCATTCAGTGTTTCTTCCAGACTTTTTTCTCCGGGGAGGGCTGGGCACTTGAATTAGGTACCCATCAGAGTTGGGTGGACTCAGGAATGTCCTACTAACACTCGTCCGAGATCTTTTGACCAGCACTCAAGCACCCGTCCCATCAAAGCAAATATGTATTAACATTATTTTTTTTACATGTTGTAAGATTAATGAACCCCCATCCTCCCCCTCCCCGTGTTACGAAGTCCGATGAGACAGTGGTTCCGCCGCTGACTGATATGAAAAACATCTGTTGCTGTGCAACGCCATGCTTATTGTTATAGTTGTATTGTTACATAAAAAACGCGTTGTTAGCTCATTTTTTTCCACGTGAACAACGCGGACAAACTGGCCTTAGCTGTTGTCTCATAGCTTCTATTTTTTTCTTCAAACATGGATAGATTTTATCGATAGAAATTCATATAGTTCTAAAGTGCAGTTAATTTGTTTTTAACGAATCAATATCTTGGAGGAACACATTTTAGCATTTTAGTTATTTATCTTCCTGCTACCTGGGTGAGTTCAATTACGTATGACAATCTTGTTTTTTACAAGCTTTTATTTAACTCACTTCCTTTGTCGTCAGTCGTCAGTCTAGATCGAAACGCAGGAGTGAAAATTCGGTCACTTCTACTTGACCGATACGATTCATATTTGACACGTGGGTCAAGACATGAAGAAAATTCAATCTGAAATTAAATTTGACTTAATTGGATGCCTAATTAATTTTTTATTAATTAATTAAAATTTGGACCGAATTAGTAGGCATGTCTATCCAACCACACCACACGCGTCATCACGTTCAATAGCTGCGCCATCACGTTCAATGGCTGCGCCATCACGTTCAGTAGGCGCGCAATGGTTTTTAGTCATGTAACTCTATTGTAAATAAAACATGTAAAGTACTGAAAAAAAATTCATAAAAAAACGTTTTAATAACAAGCTTTTATGTAATAATGCACTAAAAAGTAGAAAATAAATTATAGACTACTATTTAAATAACTAGAAAGAAAAGCGTGGGTGTCTTCCTTAACATTAGTAAAGGTATCCAATAGATACTAAAGTGACCCACGCTTTTCTTTCTAGTTATTTAAATAGTAGTCTATAATTTATTTTCTACTTTTTAGTGCATTATTACATAAAAGCTTGTTATTAAAACGTTTTTTTATGAATTTGTTTATACTTATGATTTAAAGAGAATTGCGTTTTTCGCTGATACAGTTTGCCGAGATAAATCTGTTTTTACTAAAATATAGAAATAATTTAGTGACATTTTTGTGGCGAAAATGAACCCCTATTTTGCTTTATTTATTTAAACCGTGGATAATAAATAATTTTTTTCGATGATACACCAAAATAAAAACACTATTATCAACAACCTGCAGACAACTATATTAAGACCACTGGACAAAGACTTTCATTAACGATGCTTAATTAAGTACTTACGTAACCGTTAATTTAAATCCCATTGTTAGGTTTTACACTAACCATGACCTGTTTTATCAACCCACCCATATAAATAGAAAAACACAAAGCCAATGTTACACAATTATATAAAGGGGCTTTATAAGGAACTATACAAATAGATCGATCAAGATATTTGATTTTTCGTCGCTTTATATATACCTGATATTAATAATTGCATCTATTAGCAGAGGCGTAGCGGGGGGGGGGGGGGAGGGTACATATGTCCCCGTGCGCCGAACTTAAGGGGCGCCAAAATGGGTTGTAAAAACAAAGTAAAATCTCATTTTAGCTGCAGTTTTGCATTATAAATATAAAAAATATATGGGGGAGGGGGGAGGGGGGGGGTGCAAATTGAAAGTTTGAGGAGGTGGGTGTAGATTGAAAGTTTTAGGGGGGGTGCAAATTGAAAATTGAAAGGTTGTTTTCGAGGGGGCGCCCAATTGAAAGTTTGTCCCCGGGCGCCGGGAAGGGTCGCTACGCCTCTGTCTATTAGCTAGCTCCACATTATCATAGTCTATAGATTTTGTTTGTATTAGATCAAAATATAAAGCAAATAAGATAAAAATATAAAGCAAATTAGATCAAAATAAAAAGCAAATTAGATCAAAATATAAAGCAAATTAGATCAAAATATAAAGCAAATTAGATCAAAATATAAAGCAAGCAATTTAGGAGAGGAAAAAAAACTAAAATAAAACATCTGCTGCCTACTAGTTGTTTATTTTGATGGACAAAAGCTATGGAAGAAAATCCTACTAGAAAAGCAGGCTGAAATCGGAGTCAACGGCCTTTATGGCGCATAACCAGTGGACACGTACTATTTATATTGTGTTGGAGGGAATCCGTCCAATATTAAAAGAACGAAGAAGAAAAAGTATTTGAACAATTTATTAGAAGTACCATGAGTGTCATAATTAGATTCCTGTGTTGTTATAGAGTTCATTGTCCATAAAACTAATGCGAATTACCCAACACATCTAAACCAGTCCCATATTAACCACATTCCATTGAGTTAGAGCTTATCTATCAATATATATATATATATATATATATATATATATATATATATATATATATATATATATATATATATATATATATATATATATATATATATATATATATATATATACAATTCTCTACGTCGCCCAACCATGCGGGACACCACGCACGCACACCGACTCTTTAACCCTCCTCCCTCCCCTCCCTCGCTCTCCATGCATGCGCAACAGTGTGTAACCACCCACCCCATTAGGACAACTATGTCTTTCAGGAAGTCTTCACCTGTCATTAAAAAGGGGCGTAAGCTAGGCCGCGGGTCGGCTCGTAAGCGATATTTGTCTAACTTCTCTTACTAACTTAATCACGTGAGTCCCCTAAGCAGCAAAAGGCTGCTGTTACACCTCTCCACCGAAAGCGGTTTTTTTTTGTGCAGCTCTCTTTAGCTGAGCCCACGTCAGCTCGGCAGCTCTTGCTTCTCCTTCAACAGTCATTCTCCAGGATAGCTTAGATCGGCCTAATTTTCTTTTCCCCTGGGGGATCCAGTCCAACGCTTAACTCTTAATGACACCTTCTCTACCAAGGGCGTGTCTGGTCCATCGCCGAAATTTGCCTAACGTAGGCCTACTGTAATAATATTGAATCTCACCTACAAAATGAATACAAACAATATGGCAGCAATGACATTGTAATATATTTTAGGTGTCTTGTTAAATATAGCAAACTGTTGAATTTTTAACACCAGATTCCTTGATCCACTGGAACCATGGACGACAAGCAGATAAAAATGTCACAAGCTTCTGCAGCCAACGACTACGCTCACGAGGCCGGTTTCTCTAGAGAGGAGATAACCAAACGCTACACGGAGTGGGCGAGAGGCGCAAAATACGAGCAAGTAATGGTCGTTTGTCTTTACTTCCTAGTTTGATCTTTTTTGCAGTTTTCTTCTTTTTTCTTATTCAAAATTTTAGTATTTGAAGGGATTCCCTCCAACACAATTAAGTATTACGTGTCAACTTGTTATGCGCAATATAGGCAATATAGACTCTGATTTCAATCTGCTTTTTTACTTTCTCGTATATACGTAGTATAGAGAAAGTATTGTAATCGTGCAAAAAAAAAAATCGAGATTTTTACAAATCTCGACGTTTTACACCTCACTGATACGGAGAAACATAATTTTGCAATCTTGTCCGTATGTCTGTGTGTCTGTCTGTGTGTCTGTCTGTCTGTCTGTCTGTGTGTCCGTGTGTAAACACGATAACTTGAGTACCGTTACAGCTAGGTTGATGAAATTTCATATATAAGTATTTTATCAAAATCGTAGATCCGTATCAACTTTTCCTACTTTGAATTTTTCAAAAGCCTATAACTTGAGTACTATTTCAGATAGATAAATGAAATTTCACATGTAAGTAAAAGATCTAATTCTCTACCTTCTGTTAAATGTTGAGTAATTTCCGTTGACTGGAAGTAGTAATTTACGCTACTTACGATTTCTCAAAAAAACTAATGTAAATTTTAAAAGTACTAATAATATTGCGCACTATTATGCGCTTTTTTATTTGGCGTTCACTTGGTGTGCAATTAATTTGTCTACGAGATTTTATTCTATTTTTAAAACTTTAAGTATTTAAAATTGATTAAAAATCATGTCTATAGCCCGAGTTCCCATCCCCTGTTATTTTATATAAGAGTATTCGAGAAAGTTTAGGGGGGATCACTCCCGGTTTATTTTAAAAAGATTTACTTCCATAGCCTTTGCCCAACCAAGAACAAACTACAAGGCAAAAGCTGTTTGATTTTGGAGTTTTCTCTTCTTGAAGAGTGGCTGTCCTCAGCTATCGAGCCTTATCTGCCCTGGGGTTCGAACTCGAGATATTTCGGTTCAGCAACCATGACCACGCCGACTTCCTTTTTTTTTTTGCCTATTAAAAAAGGAATTTAATTGTTGGTAATGTTTAGGTTTGTAGAGGCATCATATTTATACGTAGCAATCTAAAAGTCTTTACAGTTACCCTGTAAGTGGGTTGTCACAGGTGATAAAATGCTCAGTGGCGTGGCTTTTGGAGGGCGGGTGGGGCGGCTCTACCAGGCAAGTGACTTGGATAAATCGCCACCAACCTTTGCAACTGGAAGAGGGGGGGGGGGCTTTTTTACCTACGTGAAAAAAAAGGGGGAAGATGTTGCAGTGACCTCTGAACAGATGCTTAAAAGAAACACTGGTCACAAGATTTGCTACCACTGACATTTATTGTGAAATTTTATTTTTATTATTTCAAGTACATTGATACCAATACTTAAAGGATAGGGTTAAGACTATAATAATTCATTAACTGAAAACCGTTAGACTGACGGGGCAGCAACTCTAGCAGAACAATTAGTAAGACCGCACAACAGTCAATCAACCGAAAAGCACAAGAGTTTTGCATCATTTTTAGATTAAAATTTTTTAATTAGTTTGATAAATAATGATAAATAAATTATAAATCGAGCTACCTTGGTTAAAAAAAACAAGATGGATAATCCATATAATAACCTCTGACATCATAAAACAGAATTATCTCCTCTGTAAAGAAAAGTCTTGAAGACCGTACCGTACACAATTTAATTCTTCACAAAAGAATTTTTTTTTATATTTTTCTCTACAGGATCTTAACGAAGAACACTTTCGAGGCCCGTTGATCACAGCGGAGACGATGGGGAAGCTGTACCCTGACGAAGCTTCTAGAAAAAATCTCAACATTCTTGATGTAGCTGCGGGCTCAGGATTGGCAGCTGTTCAGGTTAGTTACTACTGCTTATAATTATTATCATAATACATAGGCTAAAGCGAAGCTACTATAGGGGTTATTAACATCAGACTTCAGACTTTCATTAATGGATGCCTGCGTCACATATTGAACATCAGGTGGTCTGAAAAAAAATTGCCAATGCCGAGCTGTGGAGAAAAACTGGGTAAGATCTTATTGGCAAAAAAGAATACAAAAGCGCAAATGGGGATGGATTGGATACACCCTGGGTAAACTGACTAGCAACATCAACAGGCAGACACTAGTTTGAAATCCCTAAGGAAAGAGGAAAGTGGGTAGAATAAAACAAATTTGGAAAAGGTCAGCTGTAAGAGAAGCAGAAGCAGCCGGAATGTCGTGGACCCAACTTTAAAGAATTGCTCAGAACCGAGTACAATGGAGAGGTGTGATTGCGTTCATATCCTCAACAAGGGTCCACAGGAAAGAGGATGATGATGAAAGGGGCTAGGCTAATGTTTGTTCACTAATAATGTATTGAGTAAAGCTAGTAGTATATTTTTAGTCTATTTTTTAAAATGTATTTATTAACCGAAAAGTTAATCTGTTATTGAAAACATCATAAGTATGTACCTGGCTCTGTACATAATCTAACTTATGTCTTTTATCATAGAGTACAGCTGGTTAATGACTTAATTTATAAAAAAATAATAATAGCATTACAATAGAAGCCTTGTTCGATCAATAATTCATCTTTGTTTATATTGTCTCCCTTGATATGCAGCTAAGATAATTGATCTCCTTCGGTGATTTTTACTGTCTATATGTTTACAGTCTATACATACTTTAAGACAAGATACCTTTATTTTTTTTAAAGTTATGGTTTCACCCTTAAAGTTATTGTTATACGTTTCAGTAAATCTGTTGTCTGTTTTTCTTCATTCATCTGCACTGTTGATTCAAAAGAGTTTCAGTATATTAGTAATTTTTGTTCCTTATCCGTTACTACGTAAAGGTTTCAGTAAAAAGATATTCATATTTTATATTTTCCCAGCTGCTACGTAAAGGTTTCAGTAAAATTGTTTGTATTTGATACTATCCCAGCTACTGCGTAAAGGTTTCAGTAAAAATTGTTTGTATTTGATACTATCCCAGCTAAAACGTAAAGGTTTCAGTTAAATTGTTTGTATTTGATTCTATCCCAGCTACAGCGTAAAGGTTTCAGTAAAATTGTTTGTATTTGATACTATCTCAGCTGTTACGTCAAGGTTTCATTATATTAATTGTATTTGATACTATCCCAGCTACTACGAAAAGGTTTCAGTAAAATTGTTTGTATTTGATACTATCCCAGCTACTACGAAAAGGTTTCAGTAAAATTGTTTGTATTTGATTCTATCCCAGCTACTACGAAAAGGTTTCAGTAAAATTGTTTGTATTTGATTCTATCCCAGCTACTACGAAAAGGTTTCAGTAAAATTGTTTGTATTTGATACTATCCCAGCTACTACGTAAAGGTTTCAGTAAAATTGTTTGTATTTGATACTATCTCAGCTGTTACGTCAAGGTTTCATTATATTAATTGTATTTGATACTATCCCAGCTACTGCGTAAAGGTTTCAGTAAAATTGTTTGTATTTGATACTATCCCAGCTACTGCGTAAAGGTTTCAGTAAAATTGTTTGTATTTGATACTATCCCAGCTACTGCGTAAAGGTTTCAGTAAAATTGTTTGTATTTGATACTATCCCAGCTACTGCGTAAAGGTTTCAGTAAAATTGTTTGTATTTGATACTATCTCAGCTGTTACGTCAAGGTTTCATTATATTAATTGTATTTGATACTATCCCAGCTACTGCGTAAAGGTTTCAGTAAAATTGTTTGTATTTGATACTATCCCAGCTACTGCGTAAAGGTTTCAGTAAAATTGTTTGTATTTGATACTATCCCAGCTACTGCGTAAAGGTTTCAGTAAAATTGTTTGTATTTGATACTATCCCAGCTACTACGAAAAGGTTTCAGTAAAATTGTTTGTATTTGATACTATCCCAGCTACTACGAAAAGGTTTCAGTAAAATTGTTTGTATTTGATTCTATCCCAGCTACTACGAAAAGGTTTCAGTAAAATTGTTTGTATTTGATTCTATCCCAGCTACTACGAAAAGGTTTCAGTAAAATTGTTTGTATTTGATACTATCCCAGCTACTACGTAAAGGTTTCAGTAAAATTGTTTGTATTTGATACTATCTCAGCTGTTACGTCAAGGTTTCATTATATTAATTGTATTTGATACTATCCCAGCTACTGCGTAAAGGTTTCAGTAAAATTGTTTGTATTTGATACTATCCCAGCTACTGCGTAAAGGTTTCAGTAAAATTGTTTGTATTTGATACTATCCCAGCTACTGCGTAAAGGTTTCAGTAAAATTGTTTGTATTTGATACTATCCCAGCTACTGCGTAAAGGTTTCAGTAAAATTGTTTGTATTTGATACTATCTCAGCTGTTACGTCAAGGTTTCATTATATTAATTGTATTTGATACTATCCCAGCTACTGCGTAAAGGTTTCAGTAAAATTGTTTGTATTTGATACTATCCCAGCTACTGCGTAAAGGTTTCAGTAAAATTGTTTGTATTTGATACTATCCCAGCTACTGCGTAAAGGTTTCAGTAAAATTGTTTGTATTTGATACTATCCCAGCTACTGCGTAAAGGTTTCAGTAAAATTGTTTGTATTTGATACTATCCCAGCTACTGCGTAAAGGTTTCAGTAAAATTGTTTGTATTTGATACTATCCCAGCTACTGCGTAAAGGTTTCAGTAAAATTGTTTGTATTTGATACTATCCCAGCTACTGCGTAAAGGTTTCAGTAAAATTGTTTGTATTTGATACTATCCCAGCTACTGCGTAAAGGTTTCAGTAAAATTGTTTGTATTTGATACTATCTCAGCTGTTACGTCAAGGTTTCATTATATTAATTGTATTTGATACTATCCCAGCTACTGCGTAAAGGTTTCAGTAAAATTGTTTGTATTTGATACTATCCCAGCTACTGCGTAAAGGTTTCAGTAAAATTGTTTGTATTTGATACTATCCCAGCTACTGCGTAAAGGTTTCAGTAAAATTGTTTGTATTTGATACTATCCCAGCTACTGCGTAAAGGTTTCAGTAAAATTGTTTGTATTTGATACTATCCCAGCTACTGCGTAAAGGTTTCAGTAAAATTGTTTGTATTTGATACTATCCCAGCTACTGCGTAAAGGTTTCAGTAAAATTGTTTGTATTTGATACTATCCCAGCTACTGCGTAAAGGTTTCAGTAAAATTGTTTGTATTTGATACTATCCCAGCTACTGCGTAAAGGTTTCAGTAAAATTGTTTGTATTTGATACTATCCCAGCTACTGCGTAAAGGTTTCAGTAAAATTGTTTGTATTTGATACTATCCCAGCTACTGCGTAAAGGTTTCAGTAAAATTGTTTGTATTTGATACTATCCCAGCTACTGCGTAAAGGTTTCAGTAAAATTGTTTGTATTTGATACTATCCCAGCTACTGCGTAAAGGTTTCAGTAAAATTGTTTGTATTTGATACTATCCCAGCTACTGCGTAAAGGTTTCAGTAAAATTGTTTGTATTTGATACTATCCCAGCTACTGCGTAAAGGTTTCAGTAAAATTGTTTGTATTTGATACTATCTCAGCTGTCACGTCAAGGTTTCATTATATTAATTGTATTTGATACTATCCCAGCTACTGCGTAAAGGTTTCAGTAAAATTGTTTGTATTTGATACTATCTCAGCTGTTACGTCAAGGTTTCATTATATTAATTGTATTTGATACTATCCCAGCTACTGCGTAAAGGTTTCAGTAAAATTGATGCTCTAGAGCCAAGTGAAGGAATGCTGAATCTGGCCAAGTCAAAGAACATTTACACTCGCACATTCCAGAACTTTCTTGGAGAAGACTCACATTGTATTGAGCCAGGTAAGGTTTGTGACAATGCTGACGTAAGTTTATAAGGAACAATACTTGGAAGGGGGGAGGGGGGTTGTAACATAGTTAATAACGGAATTAATGTATCCTGAATTTGGAGTTTCTTTAAATGAATCTTAATTATTCTAATTTTTTAAACGAACATTTTAATGAAAAGTAGCTTATAATAAATATTACATAACTTTACCCTAATAAATAGGCTTATGTAAAAATTTACACTAAAGCAACCACAACAATCATCTCAAGATTGATACGCTTCAATCATTTCGAATCACTCAAAATTTTAGTTCACCAACTTGAAACATCACTTGGTGAGTAGATGAAGAACAAGACTAGCACATCACATTAATTTACTGCTGAACACCATATTTTGTTCGATTTAAATTGATAAAAGTAAACTGATAAAATTAATCTTTGGTTTATTTTTATCTCACAAGAATAGTTTATTCACTTTCAGATTATTATGATGTTGCTGTTGTTTGTGGTGGGATGGGTGAAGGTCACATACCATGTAATGGGATGGATGAACTGGTCAGGTTTGTTAAGCCAGGTATGTTGTCTTTTTAACAGTCAGTTTTTTCAGCTTTACAAGTTCTCTTTAACACCTTGAACTACCAAATAACTGTATACATTCAAAGTAAAATAGGGAAAGTTATACATTCTAAATATAAATATAAATATGCGAAAAGATGTTTACAAAGTCGTTTACAGATAGGATACATCATTGTAAATGAAATACTTGACACTTTAAAAAAAAGTGTCTACCTACTTTTATCCTACTGTGGTTGTTTTACTTAACGTGAGCTAGGAACCCACCAGAGCTGGGTTGACTCAGGGACGTTCTACTAACCTGAATCTTTATTCGTGCTGCGATTTTCGGGTTAGAAACCAAGCGCAGTACCTCACGGCCACGCCGTCCAACTTATATTAATATAATTTATGAATTTAATTAATTAAAAAATATTGAATGATATTTAATTAATTTATGAAAATATATTTTTAAAATAACTAAATTTAAAAAAAAATACAAGTTATGTAAATTTCAATGAAAATTTAAAAGGCCGTAGAAAAATACTAGAATAAATAAGAGTGCTGAAGTTAACCCAAATAAATCAGAAAATTTATTCCCTAACTGTGACTTTACCTTCCAGGTGGTCACGTGATCATCGTCATGCGTGAAGAGTTCTTGACGATCGTCGCAGAATACAAAGACAGGCTGGAACCTCACATGAAAAACTTGGAACAGGAAGGCAAGTGGGAGCTAGTGTCAAGGACAGTCGTGCCCAAGTACTTTCTAGACTATACTGGTGTGATCTATATCTTTAAGGTGACACAAAGTTCGACGATTGTTGCTTAATTACTTAATGTGTTAGGTTTAGAGTGTTGCGTTTATTATTGCCACGTCCTGAAGTAGAGATATAATTTTAATCGGAAGTCCTGGCTAATTAAATAATTAAGTGAACCACTGACCTATGGAGTCTTTACTCACTGTTATGACGTAAACTTAACCACCCCCCCTCTCTACACAGACACAGACACGCGCACGCACACACACACACACGCACGCACACACTTACACACACACAAGGCACCCAATAAACTAGACAATGAACAAGTATAACATTTCAATCTTTACATTTCAATCAGGCAAAAGTTCGCCAAATACCATTTATTTATGTTCTATTCTCTAATCTCTTTACCTTAATGCTCTGTATATAAATCTCGTATTTCTAATAAAAGGGAGGCTACTCAAGACGTAAGCCATAAGTAATTTTTTTCAAATTCCCTGACTCAGTGGGTAAACAAGGGACGCAATTACACGAAGAAAAATAAGACTCTTACGTAGAGTAATCTGACCTGTTTGAACAAGATCTCTTAACAATTCATGGGTCACTGCTTTATTAAAGATCAGTTTTAAATTATTCCCTCTACATATGGGGAGTGGGGACAGAGTTTTTTGTTGATGTGCTACGTACTACTAATTAGATATAACTACTAATTAGATGATGCGTTAATTCACAACACATCAGATAGCAAACAAAACCCAATATATTTAAGTTTGAATTATTAGTAGCAGCTATGAGAAAGGGGTGGGTAGGGGGGGTTGGTGTCGTCGCAAGGTCAGGTGTCACCCGGTGCGTGACCCCATGGTGTCGACCCCCTCCCCCCCCCCCCCCCAGAAAAAAACCTATGTTACACACACACACACAAACACACACACACACATACACACATACACACACACACACACATATATATATATATATATATATATATATATATATATATATATATATATATATATATATATATATATATATATATATACATATATATAAAGGTCTACATAGGCCTATATACATAGTTGCAATTGGTGTAGTCCCCTCCCATTTTGCCTAAAGGCGTTATTTTGTATCTTTTTAAAATACTCAAAAAGCCTTTATTCCTTTCTAAATTTTGCATTTGGTGTCGTCGTCGTCGTCCCCCCCCCCCCCCACTCCCGGTTGATAGTTTTAATGTGTGCACAGTTAATAGTAAAGATGGTTATCTATTTTTTAACTTGTATCAATCATTAATTGAACTGGCAAAAAGCATTTTTATTCTGTATAGGAGGATGGTTTCGCGAAAAAAAAATTATTTTAAAATTGTATGTGGCTAGCGGATCACTTAGCTGTTGTAAAAAGGTGTCACCAGTTCGGGAACTTGCGTTTGAAAAAAAATTGTTTGATAATAAACATCAATTAGTATCATTTTACAACGACGTCGAATTCCTAACACCAAAATCCCAATTCCAATAGAAAAATGAACGAAAAGCAGATAAAAATACCATAATCATCTGAAGCGAACGACTACGTTCTTGAGGCTGGGTTCTTTAAAGGGGAGATAACCCAACGCTACAGCGAGTGGGCGAAGGTGCTAATTACGAGTAGGTAATGGCCCTTAGGTTCAGCATTTGTTGTTACTTCACTATGTAAAATAGCTGACGTCTTATAAGTTAAATTTGTTTCAAAATGTTACCGTATGCATATTAATTTACATTTAGTTGACTCAAAAACATTAAACATTTACTTGCATATTTTCAACTTTCTGCTTCATCAGTCTATGTGTTTGTTTTTTAATTTACTTCCTTGTACGACTGTAGTTGGTCTATGTACTGTCTATAGTTGGTCTATGTACTGTTTCATACATAGTTTATTTTTTCTTGGGTATTTTCATTGTTCTATAATCTTTGTGGTCCATTCATTTAGTGGTCAAATAGTGATGGTCATGCTTAATTGCTTAATTATAAGATAAAACATATTTTATTAAAAAAAAATTCGAATTGTTCAGTCTGAGAATATAATTATATTTGCATTCTTTACTGGTACTAATTCAGTAAGTACTGCAGCTACCATTTGTTCAGTAAGTACTGTATACTCTTTTTTTATTTTGTGAATTTAATGTTAATTAAGTCTTAATTGGCATGCCTAATTCATCAACTGCTTCGTTTAAAAAAATATAAGATTATAGAAAAATAAAATGTATTTAAATTTGCTCTAATTGTTTCCCTAAAAATTAAAAAATTCATTAATTTTAGTATTAGTTATTGAACTTGAAGTGTTACAATGATAAGTAACCAATCAACTAATGAGTTATTTATTATAAATATGTTGTGACGTTTTTTTTCAATCACCATTTTAAAAAAACCTGATTTAGATTATTACATGATGTTTCAAGATGTTTGTGTAATTGAGTTCAATCTGTCATTAAATAGGTCAACATTTCTGGTCATTTATAACAGTAACTAGGTCAAAAACTAGCTCATGACAAGATGTCAGTAACTAGGTCAAAAACTAGCTCATGACTACATGTCAATAAATAGGTCAACATCTACGTCATGACAATATGCCAGTAACTAGGTCAACAGCTACGTCATGACAAGGTGTCAGTAACTAGGTCAACAACTAGCTCATGACAAGGTGTCAGTAACTAGGTCAACAACTAGCTCATGACAATATGTCAGTAATTAGGTCAACCTTTGATAACATATCTATCAGTCATTAGGTACAACATTTCTTGAATAGCGAAAAAAAAAGTTTGTCTTTTAATTGCATTTTAAGTATTTACTAAACAGAAAAAAATAATACCAAAACTTGAAATCAAGAAACAGTTTCACTTATTATGATGCCTCAACTAAACCTAATCCTAGCTCTAGCCCTAGCCCAACATTCAAAAAAGTATTTTATTTTTTTTAAATTGAAAGGGAAAAACAAACAACTAACCAGGCCTATAATAAGTTAAAGCGAGTTTATTCTCAATCAGCTTTACAAACAAATATATTTGAACGTGAACAATTACTAAGTAGCTTATGCTATGTAATGGGTGATATTATTATAGCGGTAACGCTTACCTGTTTGCTGTTGTTTAGTTGCCATGACAACTATAATAAACTAATGATTTGCTAGAGTCTAAAACATGAGACCAATAAAATAGCAATAAAATAAAGTTAAGCCTATGTTAAACAAGATATCACAATTATAATATAACGGTGGATGCCTATATTAATTAAGTTATAACGTATAATAAAGAAAATTAGGCATATGTTAAACACGATGAAACAATAATAAAATAACGGTGGATGCCTATATTTAACAAGTTATAACGAATTCTAAAGAAACTTAGGCCTATATTAAGAAAGATATCACAATAATAACTGAGTAATGTGTGCCTAAATCAAACAAGCTACAAAGGAGATTACCCGATGGAAATAAAATAAACGCAAGTGAAACGGTAACTTGAGTAGGCTGAAATAAAAACCCAGGAATTATTAACTGATCATTTAATCATTCGATTTACCAAGCTTTCATTGCAGTAAAGGAAACGATTACCACATTAAGGAGTAAACAAATGAATCATTCATTCAGCGAAACAATCACAGAACCAGATTATAGAACATGGTTGATTAATTAAGTAACAAAAGTTAGATTGGGGCTTTAGCTAATAAGGTAAAAGCAGGAGTCCCTTGCTGAAAATGAACGGGCCTTATGTGTATTTTATCACAATGACTTTCTAAGTTGTCATGGCTGTAATACGATTTAGTCTCCTACTGTTCTGCACATGGCAAACCATCAAATGTCACTACGTTCTATTCAGTTGGGCAAATAATCGATCAAATGTCACTACGTTCTATAAAGTTTGCCAAATAATCGATCAAATGTCACTACGTTCTATTCAGTTGGGCAAATAATCGATCAAATGTCACTACGTTCTATAAAGTTTGCCAAATAATCGATCAAATGTCACTACGCTCTATAAAGTTTGCCAAATAATCGATCAAATGTCACTACGTTCTATAACGTTTGCCAAATAATCGATCAAATGTCACTACGCTCTATAAAGTTGGCCAAATAATCGATCAAATGTCACTACGCTCTTTAAAGTTTGCCAAATAATCGATCAAATGTCACTACGCTCTATAAAGTTGGCCAAATAATCGATCAAATGTCACTACGTTCTATAAAGTTTGCCAAATAATCGATCAAATGTCACTACGTTCTATAAAGTTTGCCAAATAATCGATCAAATGTCACTACGCTCTATAAAGTTTGCCAAATAATCGATCAAATGTCATTACGCTCTATAAAGTTGGCCGAATAATCGATCAAATGTCATTACGATTTATCAAGTTGGCAAAATAATCGATCAAATGTCACTACGCTCTATAAAGTTGGCCGAATAATCAAATGTCATAACGCACTATCAAGTAGGACCAAAAAAGAAAACAAATGCCACTATGCACTATTAATAAGATCAAGATGCCATGAAATGCCACGGCGCACTATACAAGTTGATTCCAAAATGCCATCTAATGCAACTACGCACTATCAAGATGGTCCAACTTTCAACCAAGACATTTTTCATTTTTTATACACAAATATCTGCACTTTACAGCTAAGTGGTTTAAAAAAAATGTGCTTTTGTAGGTCAAGTTAAAAATAACAACATACTAAATTCACCCAAACAACAAATCATCCAATCCAAAAAACCGTTACTAAAACAACATTGTAGTCTTCCATTCGCCTATCTCATCTATCTATCTATATATATAATTCTCCTCTTCGAGCCGTTAGAAAACAAGCTGCAAACGCTCTCCCTACCTCACCACCCCTACATGGTTTTAGTGAGCTGTGTTCACTCTAAATGTTTACAAGCAGAGCCAACGATTTTAAACGTAGGGGGGGGGGGGGAAGGAAGGGGGGGGGTTATGGTCCTTAACGAGCTACTTATAGTGTTTTAAAGAAATATTTTCAGTGTCAGCGTTGGTACTGTCGAATTCACAAATTATGAATTATTGAAAATTAGAAACAACTAAATAGCGGCGTATGTTATGCCGCGGGCCGGCTCGTTACATATAATCTAACAGCTTGGCGCGTTTCTCGTATGCTGAACCATTCAACGACAGTGTGGTTTAGATTAGTGTTGGATCGGCCGAGTATGTAGAGCAGGTAGAAACTAACCCACGGCGTGAAACAAGGAAGTAAAAACTCTCAAGTTTCTTGAGACTGTGGACAAACAGAGGTACAGCTCCGTGTTGAAGCACTGTGATCGAGTGTTTACCTGTCACACCTTGGTCAACAACAGTCACTGGTCGCTACAGGTTGGAGAGTATTTCACGTGGAAAGGGACGGTAGCAATCGTCTATAAAAGACTTTCACGCAAAAAGGGGGGGGGGGAAGGGCCGTAGGAATCGTCTATAAAAGACTGTCACGCTAAGGGGGGGGGGGGGGAGAAAGAGGCTTTAGGAATCGTTTATAAAAGACTGTCACGCTAAACAGGTGAAGAGGGGGTGGGGTTCGCAACTGTTTATAGAAGACTACCACGCTAATTAAAAAAAGGGGGGGGTAGTTAAAAACTTTTGATGGCTTGCATATGAGAGATAGGTTGGTTTACAAAATGTATGCACGCGTTTGTTATTTTAAGGGGGAAAAAATGAAAATTAAACATTCTCATACAGGTTAGAGTGTGATTCTATGTGTTGGGGACGGCGGGGTGGAATTTTGTTAGGTAACTTAGTTGGCGTCCTTCATTTTTTTATGGCACCTGAAAATTGGTGGCGAGGGTAAAAAGTGTAATTAGCGTGACGTCATTGTTGGACGCCCATTGTAGAAAATTTAAATTGACTATTCTAATTACATGAATTACTCCTACTCCAATAACGAAAGAAACATTACTTATATCCACTGAAATGACAATGCTATCTTGTTCCCACAAAAATAAATTACCAGCTGCTGTCATCAAACTAAAACATCGTATTTTTAAAAGAGTCTTTACTCTTCATAAAATCCATACAAAAGTTTATAGTCAGAACTCGGTAGCGTCCCATTGGTAGAGTAATGTTCTAGAAGCGTCTCTATGCTGTCAAATTTGACGATTTGATCCAGGGAGAAAGTCGAGTCTTTCTTGAAAATTTTGTACTGGTTAACCTTCCCTTCCGGAGTGAGATACGCCAGAACCTTATAGTCACTCGTGCGAGATTTCCGGATGAGATACGTCCCGGATTTTTCTTTAGCTTTGAGCTGAGCGATCAGCTGGTTCCTGTCCAATGTGTCGTCTGCTACTGTGCAGTTCTGCTCTTTGGTGATGGGCGGTTGTGACATCTCAACGGGAAAGTCGTAATCTTCGTACAGATCTGCTGCGTTGACGTAATCAGTTTCGTTTTCGGACAAGATGGCGCTTTGCCGAGGCGGAAGTTTGGCGTGTAGTTCTTCTTGGGAGATCTTTTTCTTCTCCGGTGTCTGAGGTTTGGGTTTAGGTACCGTTTCGGGTTTAGGTAACGGCATGGGTTTTCTTTTATTGTCAAGTTTCGGTTTTAAGTCCGGGGGAGAGGATGTGTTGGAGTGTGTGTCGGATGGTGGGGTGGGGGCTGGGGTGGACGGTGGGCTGGAGGGGATGTTCCACTCAAAGACGCCGCCGCTTCCGCTGCTGCCGGAATCGCTGGAAATGCTGTCGGTGTAGGCTAGGTGATCGCTGTCCACGGAACCGTCCGGCACATACGCTGGAGCTTCAATATCTCTGTACTCATCTTCAGTAGAGCTTTCTCTTAAAGTCAATCGTCTTTGAACAGAATCAGATAAAGATTTCTTTTCTACACCGTTCGCTATGTATAACTGATCTTTTATAGCCGTCATCCATTCTCTTCTCTCATTATCACTGACGCAGGCGAAAGTAATGACGCGGACAGTTTTGAGGTTGTAGGCGGGCAGGATGGAGAAGCACCACTCGTGGACTGTCGACTCTTCTCTCTGAACTCTGTTGTAGCCCCGTAGCAAGATTGTATCATTCGGTGCCTTGGACAGCTCGCTGTTGTAGATGTAGAGGGAATCGCTCAACAGGACGACGAACCGATGCTTCCACCTGCCGTAGTTTATGGTGTTTGCTTTTTTTCTCAGCAGCCCGGACCTGATGGAAGCGTTGGGAAGTTGGATGATATCCTGCGCGGAAATACCCGAACTAGAGGTGCGGATATTTCGCTGAATCGTTGCCGCTTTGTTTAAAATCTCGTGCACTTTTTGGCTTGCCGCGTTCATGGTCTGCAGAAATAAAAATACTGGAGTTTTAAACGTTTTGCCAATTGATTTATATTTAATTAAAATTATATTTAAAAATAACTTCTACTTTAACTTGTTAATTGATTAATGGATTTAAAAGTATTTATAAAACTAAAAAAAAAGAAACATATAATATAAAAATAACTAAATTAATTCAAGGCACACTCATTTAAAGAAACTTTATTTATTTGCCAATGTGTTTTCATCAAATCTTTTATTTTCAGATTTGCTCACAACTAATATTTAATTTATTATTTTAAAAAAGATATAAAAGATCCAGTTTTACTTAATTAAAAGTTTGGTCGTTGCATAAGCTGAAAAATTGAACCATGTCCAATTTTTTTTTAAAGTCGATAATCAATAGGCTACGCTTCAAATAGTTCAAACGTTTAGTTATATTTAGATCTAGTGCCTTGATCATGATATAAATTAGGGTTGGGAAATAAGATTATTGGTGATTTAAACGATGTGATTTTAACATACAGGTACGGCTTAAGGAGAATTGGAGTGTAGTGGAATCTTGAAATTTGTATACATCAATTGACGTAGAAAGTTAGGAAAGATTCTATTAAAATTTAATAAAAGCTTTAAAATTTAAACAAATCGACTGCAAAAAATTGTGCTATACATACCGTAAGAAAAAGCACATTGAAAATTTTTTCATACAAACTTGAATAAGTTTTAGAGTGGATTTCAATGATTTTTCTGTCTAGTCCTCAGTTATCGAATATATCGCTGACTCCCTCCATTTATTTATCCTAACACTAAAATATACACATCACGTCTTGATTTGTAAGTCCTTGAGCTAAACAAAAAATAACATCACAACACACTGAAAGCGAAGCGAAACTCTACCGCACGAATCCCGAGCCCACAAATTATAAGTTACGTCGTGCTATTCAACACCCGACCTCGGCTACAGAATTTAGTTTGAAACACACCACAGTCCCTCCCCCTCCCCTTCTGTCCCCCCCCCCCCCCCCCCCAGCACATACGTCTTAAGGCTGGCATTGTAGGTATTAAAGGAACGTTACACTTGGTTAAGTTTGTGGGCGGCGTCTAGCGAACGCAGCAGTGACACTTCTTCACTGCGATTTGATTTGTCCGTGGAATAAGTGTAACGTTTTATATCTTTATATAACTTTTTACATTACATTTAGCGCACTCCACATAAACTAAATCAATAAATTAAACTAACAAAAATAGTTTCAATCTACGATTATTTATAAATTCATGTTTGGGTTTTCCATGCATTATCTTCTAGCCATAAATTTGCGAGGAATAAAAAAAAAATTCCCATCAAACACGAATGTCAAACAATAAAAATTTAAATATTTTTTTTTTAATAAAATAAAAGTAAAGTTTCATCAGGACCTGGCGGTTCATTGTGCAGATAAAGTAGAGTTCACGTGTTTCTGTGACCTCGTTAAATGAAGGGATGGTGTGGTCAGCACTATATTAATCCGTCTTTATTATATAATTATAATTAGGTACCCATCAGAGCTGATATATAGAATAATCAATATTAGGAAGTGTATAGGCTTAAACCGGCCTTGAGTCTAAAAGTGTTTACATCATTTTAAAATTTGTAATTGCTTAAACACAATAACGTGTTTTATTAAAATATTTTTACAAGAAAAAAATTAATTAATTGATATCAATTTGATAATTTAACAATTATTTACTGCAATGTTGATTTGTTTCAGCAGTTATTTCGGAAATGTAATGCTAGTCATTACAATAGTCCTACCATCACCAATTAACATTTAGGTCAAAGAATTAATTAGTTGTCCATGATTAGGCTAGCGATCCTGGACAACGAATGTTATTTTCTTCATGGAAATACACATCAACAAAGTGGAGCAGAAATCCACACGATAATACACCAATACAATAACATGTTTATAGCGTCACGTGACTAGAACACTCTATCATTACATCACGTTATAGTTTTCTGCGAAACTAGTGGTGACAAAGGCTGGGGAGGGAGGGGGAGGGGGGAGATTTACCTGAAGATATAGGGGAGATAAAAGGCTGATTTATACGAGATGGAAAATGATAAAGCACGGATACAAAACATACAGCACAAATACAGCACAGCAGTTGCGTAGCGAGGTCGGGTTTCACCCGGTGCGGCACTTAATGGTGTCACCCCCCAGAGGTGTAGCGACCCTTCCCGGGGACAAACTTTCAAACTTTCGATTTGCACCCCCCCCCCCCTCAAACTTTCGATTTGCACCCCCCCCCTCAAACTTTCGATTTGCACCCCCCCCCCCTCAAACTTTCGATTTGCACCCCCCCCCCTCAAACTTTCGATTTTCACCCCCCCCCCCCTCAAACTTTCGATTTGCACCCCCCATCAAATTTTTCTCTATATATTTTGCTATTTTTTGCAATGGTGTCCCCCCCCCCCCTAAATGGTGTCACCCGGTGCGGTCCGCACCCCACCCCCCCCTCGCTACGCCTCTGCAGCACAGATACAGCAGATATACCGGACATAGACAGCACAGAAACAGCCTTGATACAGCACTTATACAACACGGATACAGCATAGATACTATACAGATACATCACAGATGCAGAACATAATATATAGCACATATACAGCACATATATAGCACATTAATAGCACGGATATAGAACATATACTGCACGAATACAACTCAGACACAACACAGTAACAGCACAGATAGAGTACACACACAGTTAATTAAATGTAAAATAAAGATATGGACGTTTAAAAGAGAACGTAAAGCGCAGATAATGAAGAGGTTCAGCAACAATACAAAAATGATGTAGCAAAAATACAACAGATCAATAGAAATACATCGGAGATTTATCAATTGTACGACACAACTCAACAGTTATGAGCATGCCATCTCTGTTGTATCGTACGAGCTGACCCGCGACGTAGTATACGCCGCCATCTTGTTGTTTTATTTTCTGCTTATCAGCAATTCATAATTTATGAATTCAACACTACCCCTCCCGCCCTCCCCCCCCCCCCTCCCACCAAGTGAAAGCAGCCGTTTACAGACTAAGAAAAAAATCAATCAGAAACGGTTACCTCCCCTTAGTTCTCAAATCCTTTAATCCTTAATTATCTGCCCCTAATAGCCGTCACTAGCCCTGCTCTACGATTGTAAACATTCGGGGTGAACCACAGCTCACCTGACAGGTGGGGATAAGGGTGGTGGATAAGCTGCGTGGTGTTTTCTATGGTCTCCATGAAGAGATTATATATATAGATAGATATGCAATGCTAGACACTGAAACATAAAGACAGACATACACTAAAGACACATACACACCGACACATAAAAGCAAAAAATGTAAACGCAAACACACACGACTCATAGTATTAAGCATTAATTGGTTCAAGAGTATTAGTTTTTTTTCCGTGTTTATTTTTCGAGTAATTCGGACATTCATTGGTTGATACATCATCCTCAGTAATGTGTTCAGGACTGTCTTGAATCATCAACTGAGTGAGTTTATTTTAACTTCAACAATACCGAGTAGCTACACACTGAACTCTATGTTTGGTTATAATTCGCCGTAACTTAACTATACATATCTAAAGCAATCTTAGTGTAGATTAAACAATAAATCAAATACACGTTGATTACATTCACTGCTTGTGTAAATATTACACTTCAAATACTATCAGCGTTGTTTTACAATTACAAAAAATAAAAAAAATAAAATCGATAATTCCCATTGAAATCTATTGTTATTGATTTTTCTGGGCTGATAGCAAACAGGAAGCTGTCACAGTCACTGTTGTTAAAGCCCTTCAGATCCAATTATACCATTGCACAATTTTGACTTTAAACAAGAACCAATTCAACGTTTGTAAGATATTGATTGCACACAACTGACAAGTAGACGATAAATTTCCTTTTAATGCTATACTTCTGCCTATTTTATGTTGTTGTTCCAACGAATAGCTGACGCACCTCTTTGCCAACGAAGAAAACTCCATTTTTTATGGAGCATTTTTCTTGATAAATCTTTCAGAATATTTTTAAAAGTTGTCAGAAAATAAAATACAGGCGATTAAGGCTGTTATTGTGCGCCAAGCCGGTTGAGAAAGAAATTAAAAGCAGTAGAATTTGATAGTTTCTTAGCAAGCCACGCATCAAATAGCATTAGATTGGATATGATATTGTTAGGTAATGTTGAATTTGAATGTTGTGGAGTATTATCGTGGGCAAACATAGACAGTGGTTTAGCTTTGCCAAGTGTCCAAAACCCACATCACAAATGTAAAAAAATAAAGCATCTAACATAGACCAAACTCCCTTTTCAAAACGCTGACCACACTATCCCTTCATATACCGAGATCACTAAAACATGTGAACTCTACATCAGTGTTTCCTCCAGACTTTTTTCTCCGGGGGGGGGGGAGGGGGGGGGCACTTGAAATTTTCGGGGGGGGGGGGGCGGTCAACATTTTTCGGGGGGGGGGGGGGGGCGGACACTAGTAAAAGTGTATGTTTTACTATATAAAATCTCGTTGGGGGGGGGGCGGTAGACTTTCTTCGGGGGGGGGGGGGGGGAGGCGGAGCCCCCCGAAGAGATGCCTGGATGAAACTCTGCTCTACATCACCTATCTCATATACCGAAAGAGTACTGTGTAAACCCCAGGTGGTCTGAGAATTGGAAGAGTGGGCGTCACATGAAAAGGGAGAGAAGCAAAGAACGACAACCTTGAAAGAAACTGAAACACGTACATCAAGCATCATTTCACCCAGTGCATGTTTGCAAACAGAAGGAAGAAAGACACGGTAAGTTTGTCTACTGCAGAATCTTACGGGGCAGGTTTTGCACGCCACGCTAGAACAAACATGAAAAGGTCAGATTATTCAATGTTGACACTTTATAAAAAGTAAGTTAGAGGCTTCAATAAAGCTTCCTGATTCAAACTGCTGTGGTTTTTAATAGGGGAAAAAAGACATACTGACTTAGTGCGGTTGAAGGGTAGGCATACGTGCCGATAAATACATGTAAGAAATTGTCCAAGTTCATGCTAAAATGGATAATGAATTATACATTGCCTGTTATAAACTAACATAGACATTTTGACCCGTACCATATAACATTATGGATAATGGATCATGGATAGCCTGCTATTATCTAACATAGGCCTTTTGGTCCCGTAACATATTACATTAGCAATGTCATGGCAATAAACTTTGGTACTACATCTATTTTTAGCTTCTTTCAAATACGCAAGTCGAAGGCTTAAATGGAACATTACACTTTAACAACAACAACAAATTGGTGTATGGTATTTGCGTGCTTTATCTCCATTAGCAAATATTATGGGGGATTCTTTTATGGCGAAGTTGTATGTGTGTTTAGGTGGCCGGAAAGAACCGCAACGGAAAAAAGCGCAACGGAAATAAGCGCAAAACAAAAAGCGCAACGGAAATAAGCGCACACCGGAAAAAAGCGCAAAGAGAAAAAAGCGCACACAGAAAAAAGCGCAAAGAGGAAAAAAGCGCAAGCAGAAAAAAGCGCAAAGAGAAAAAAGCGCACACAGAAAAAAGCGCAAACAGAAAAAAGCGCAACGGAAAAAAGCGCAAAGAGAAAAAAGCGCACACGGAAAAAAGCGCAAAGAGAAAAAAGCGCACACAGAAAAAAGCGCAAAGAGAAAAAAGCGCACACAGAAAAAAGCGCAAACAGAAAAAAAGCGCACACAGAAAAAAGCGCAAACAGAAAAAAGCGCACACGGAAAAAAGCGCAAAGAGAAAAAAGCGCAAACGGAAAAAAGCGCAAAGAGAAAAAAGCGCACACGGAAAAAAGCGCAAACGGAAAAAAGCGCAAACGGAAAAAAGCGCACACAGAAAAAAGCGCAAACGGAAAAAAACGCAAAATGAAAAAAGCGCAACGACAAAAAGCGCAACGGAAAAAAGCG